CGGGGTACCAGGAATCCTGGGGCAACCTTAAGGAGTACTACTTGGAGGCTTTGACGGGTAGTTCTGCGCTGGGCGATAAATCCATTCAAGTCCCCCCCAATATGGGCTATAGTTGTAGTTACCCTACTTAGAACCCCACTTATAACTACTTACAACCCCACTTATGATTACATAGAACCCACTTATAACTACCCCCTGAAGCTTCAAGTAGGGAGGCTTAGACATGAGTAGGGATGCAGCCTTGCCCAGTCACCCCCGCGCCCCTCAACGAAGGAATGTACCTTAAACTATGGGCAGTTTCATGGGTAGTTATAATCAGTTGGGGTTATGCGCCCCCCTAAACTGGGTTATATTTAAAGTTACCCGGTTGTGAGCCCCCCTAAACTGGGTTATATTTACAGTTACCCTGCTTACCTTAAACTGCCTTAAACCGCAACGGACCGCAAGCGTAAGGCCTCGTCTATTGAAGGGTCCAGAGGCATTGGGGATCTTCGGGATGAAGTAAAGCCCCCATGCAGGATAAGCAACACAACCAAGCCCTAAACCCCGAAACCCCTAAACCCCTAAACTCCTAAACTCCTAAACCCTAAACTCTAAACCCTAAACCCCTAAAGTCCTAAACCCTAAAAGTTTGGCTATGGATGTAGGCGACTGAAGGATCGATCGATTAAAAACGGGTTTTTATGAAGGCTTTCTGGGGGGTTTAGGAAGTGGACACCCTGCACCCTAATCCGCTGAAGCCCGGTAGCATCCCCCCAACGTCGCGTCCCAGCTGCCGCCGGCGCAACTCGCTCAACGGCATCGTGAAGTGGGGTGGAGCCACATCGGGCCACCTCGCTGGCATCCTAGAGACTCTCTTGCCCCGTAGAAAAGGGGAGGCATCCCTGAAGCGGACTTGCATGAGCCAGCCCCCCTAAGGCATCCTCAAACTGAAACTTTGAAGAAGTCTCATCCTGATGCATACGGTGTAGGGTACTTTTCTTTAGTTTCCTTTCTATGGGCCCACTTGATGGATTGGAGAAAAGCGGTTGAAGAGCAGGGAATCAAAGAAAGGAGTCCGACGCAAAGGCATGCACAGCAGCAACCGGACGAAATACTTTTAGGGACACCTCTTCAGAGCATTGCGCCATTTGAAAACTAATGTTTTCAGCGAGCCCAAACAGCGAGTCAAGAGATGGCATGCTCGGATGTGCTGGGGCACTGGAGAGGTTTGACTTGTTGGAAGCCGGCTCCATGAAAGCACCCTTCTTCACACCAAGCCCCTAAGTCAGGCGATGGGGTGGAATCACAAATCCTGTAGTGCAGGAAGTTCCCTGAGCTACTTGCATGTAAAGCCGACTTGTTAAGGTAGGATTTTGTCCATCAACACGGATCAGCATCTGAGCTCTGCACCACATCTGGACGGGCTTTGTAGCGAAGCAATGTCGACGCCATCATGTACGGGCCATCGTCCTTGCAGTGGTGTCGTGACAAACGGCGTAGGCTGCAAGCCAGTGCGGACTTCCTGCGATGTAGTATTTATAGCAGCGTAGCAGCCGCGTCAGTGGTAGTGATGCTGGGGGATGGTGGTGGTAGTCGTGGTAATGGTACTCGTAGTAGTCGTAGTCGTCGTGTCGCGGCAAAAACGTCGTCGTCGTCGTAGTAGCTGTCGTAGTAGTAGTAGTCGTCGTCGTCGTCGTCGTCTCGCAGCAAAAACGTTTCAGCAGCAGCAGCAGCAGCAGCAGCAGTACTAGTAGTAGTAGGAATATGTGCAAACAGTTTGCGGTTCCCCGACTCGACTACTTCAGCTGCTGTTGACTGCCACCTGTTTTGGGGTATTACCCGCCTTATCGGAGCGGGAGATCCGGCGCAGTGGTGTGTTGCATTCCGAGATGCCCAAACCCAATCACCCAAAACCCCTACACCCGCAATCCCTACGCTCCTGAACTAAGCCCTCGACGAAACGCCCCTGAAAAAGCCCTTCACTTCGTGAGTCAGTAAGGCAATTCCCTCTGTAAGTGCTTGCCAATTGAAGTGCTTATATTCGCTGTCTTGCCTCCACGAACCCATCAACCCTGCAAGGCCAGATGAAGCTCTGGAGCCCTGAATGTTAATTTCCGTGTCTATAGGGTGGGACAGGTTCTTTGATCATGGGGCTTAGTGCACATGTTGAACATGGGGTTATATAAGCAGGAGAGCCCCAAGTACGGCACCGATCACTCTCATTCCTGTTCCAACCTGCTTGGAAAGTCGCAGAATCACTTGATTAACCGACATAGAAGCCGACATCCCTAAACCCTCCCCTCAATCCTTCACCCCACCATCTGCAGTCCATTACTGAAGGCCCCGGTCCACGCATTACCTTAGGTTAAGACTACGTCCCCCTGCCCCTGATCACCCCAAATCCTGAACCTCAGACTTGAAATCACAAGCTCGTCTTCTGAACCCAGTCCTAAATCTGGTCCTGTATGTGCAGGAATGGGTTTGACGAGTCTATTATAACCGTACTATTACACGCCAAGCGTGCCTCACCAAGCTCTCTCGCGCTGTCACCCTCTCTCTGTCTCCCTCTCTCTCTCGCCATGGCTATGAATACAGGTATTTGTGTATAGGCATGTATGTATATCTGTATCTATATCTCTACATAGAAACATACATACGCATATACATATTTACATTTATACATACATGTGCCCCCTCACCAAAACGCAATGTAGCTCACTTGCCTTCCGGGTGATGGAGCGCACAGCGCGGGCGAGGGGAGTGAGGCCGCAGCAGGTAGAATTCAGATTCTCCTGCTTGAGGGTGTAGGGTTCAGAGTTCAACAGCTTCAAACTTGAGGGTTTGGGGATCTGGACTGTAGGTTTTGAGCTGATTTAGAGTCTGTGGGTCTTGGTGTGTAGGTTCGCTTGCTGCTTGCTCCTTGTGAGGAACCTAATGTAGGGGCCTTCATAAGTAGAATAGGGCTTTGGGGCCCATTATACTATCTATTTATAATAAGGAACCCACCAAAATAGGATTGGTAATCTTTTTAGGCCCCTACATCATTCGCGACAACGCTTCGGCAGAGGGCCAGCGACGCAGCCGGCGAGGCAGCCGGACCCATTCCCGTCATCTGCATGCCAGGCTCCAGGGATTCGGATTCCGGGCTTGATAGACTTTAGCTTTTTTATTTAAGGGCCTTTTCTGTTGCTTGCGCGTCAAACTTTCGAGTTCAGGGTTTAGACTTTACGAGGCAGGGCGGAGCATGAAAACAACTATTTCTACAATAACTGAGACGGTTTATTGTGCTCAGAATCTTGGAGCTCAGTTGCAGACTTCTTGGTTGCCCACGAGGGTCTGAAGACGACTTGTCTGAGCTTTCGGCGTTACAAAACATCCCTGAAGAAGGACCGGAATCGAGGCTGTGAGCATGAGCCCTACTCAGTGCCTTCTTTATCCATCGCCCCCTCTTTAGCACCCTCTGATGCCTTCCCTAGAACCCCACAATCCCTTGTTTAGAACTGTATGATCCCTAGACTCCGATGACTGTCCAGGCTTAGGGGGGAGGATGTGGATTTGGGACAGTGCCGAAGGTTGACGATGCAGAAAGTACCTGAAGGAGGGGGGAGCAGGCATCTTTGACAGTGGCCTGGAGTTTGGACTTTAACGTGTAGGGTTTAGAGCTCAGGATTTAGGGCAGCCGTCTCAAGGACATTTGCTGCGGGTTTACACAGGTGTACGAACAGTGTGTCTTACAGGTATTGCAGCCACTTCATGCTCCAACTCCTGGCCGCAACCCTGCATCCTTGACACGTGCACGGCTTGAAGCGACGCCTCCAGACGAAGACGCTCTAAATCCCCAAAATACTATATATAATTATAACAAAGAACCCCCAACATAGTATAGGTAATTATTATTAAAGCTCCTATATTACTGAATTCCTACACCGAGAACCGCTTAGCTTGTTCCTGTCCTTCGACCCAAACTCCTAAGATGCTAACCCTAAACCTTATGCCTGGGTTCTTGTTACGGAATTTAATTTAAGTTACCATAATGGGGATCTATAGTAAATAATAGGGGTTCCTTATTATTATGGTGACTTAAATTACATCCCTTAACAAGAACCCAGATAATGTCAACTTGCTTACTCTTCCAAACTCGATATCCGGTTCC